ACATCGCCGTTAAGGAGGCGCCGTTGTGTAGAGGGAAGCGGCAGCGAAGGCTGTTGCGGTAGAGGAAGATGCAGCAGTTGCGACTGCTGCTGGCCGGGAAGCGAGGAAGGCACCGCTGTTCGCCGTTCACCGCTATTGAGGAGGCAGTGAGAGAATGTTTTCCTCCTTGCGTGACGACGACGGAGAGTGTCTGCTGTAGGCAGCAAATAGGAGAGGGAGCAAGGCCGGCGAAGAAAAGCAAGACCGGCGATGAAGAAAGAGAAGAAGTGGATGAGCAGAGCCAAGACGATGCTCGTTACTGGCTCTGAATCCCTGTCTTGTGCTTCTTCAGTGACTCCGCTTGAGGCAGCATGTTACTGTGGCCGCTTGGCTAACACACGGCGATACTGTTGTCGCCAAGGAGGAACTGCTCTGATACCATGTTAGAAAATAAATAGATAAACAAGTTGTAGAAGTAGTTGATTGTTATTAACATATCCTCCTTCCTTTTATACAGGTTAGAAGGGAGAATTTTCCTCAACAGATTAGAGGATTTCCCTCAACAGAGTAGAGAGATTTCCTCAAACAGTTAGGAAATCTCATCTACTTATCAATATTGCTGTGCTTTTAAAGACCCTCACTTTTCCTTGCAACTGCATCATTAGTTGATGCTATGCATGTTTTATGTTACTATTTCCCGTGTAATTTTCTTAATATGTCAAAATTATGGTGACCTTTAAGCTAACAAAGTTTAAATATTAACTATGAAATCATTGGTTTATGAACTTATTCACATACCACTTTAATCTTGAACCCTAATGGGAGTATAGAATTGTCGTCATGGTCCATGCAAATCATACCATTTTGATCTTGAACCCAAATTGAATGTAGTTTAAAGGCTTTTTATTTGTTCCATAAGCTTTTTCCTTCTGCTTTTGAGGTACTGCCATTAGGTGATTGATCATTAGTAAGGGTTCATACACTGATTAACACTCGGGGTAGTGATCTCTGGGCTAAAGCCACTTTGCATGACTTGTAGTCTTTCAAGATATGAAATAAGAAAATTAGTTAGAATTTGACTGTGAACTTCAGGCTAAATTGTGCATTTCCTATAAGTTTCAGTAAACAAACACTGAATGTTGGTCACTTTCAGAAAGTTTCATATTTGATATCCACTTCCAGTGAAACAAAATACACCCTCAGACCAGAGAAGAAGATAGATAGCATATCATGGTCCCATTGTAAAACTATTTACAAATGTAGGCTCTATGTTAAACATTTTGTTAATGAAGTTTGTTCTTCTTGTGGGCTTAATAACTTGGTTTTGGTGTCGGATTATGACGCTGGTATGTTATCATTTTAATTTCTGTGTCTATTGCACTGAATTAGTATAGCCCTAGCTGCCAGTCTTTAATTTCTGTGTTTGTGCAGTTATGAAGATGAGCCACCAGAACCAGAAATTGAGGTAACTATTGGCTTTTCCCTTTCTAGGTCAGCTTGCATACTTGATGTGTTTGCTGGAGATAATGAAATATCAATTGCATTTGTGAAGGAAGGAGTAGAGGAAGATCAGGAAAATAACAATGAAGACATGCCGGATGATGTTGTAGGAGCTGAGGGCGAGGAAAAGGAGCAAGAACGAGTTGAACGGCCTAGAAAAACATCAAAATACATGACAAAATATGAACGTGCTAGGATTCTTGGTACACGAGCTCTGCAAATCAGGTCGGTAATTTCTAGTTTTATCCATCGATTTATGCACATTTGGATTTTCTATCAGCTTTTTTAGTAATCCAACTTTGGTGAACAGCATGAATGCTCCAGTGATGGTTGAGTTGGAGGGTGAGACTGACCCTTTGGAGGTATGATTTTTAACAACATATATTTTTATTTTGAAATGATTAGATAGAATTTTGTTAGAAGCATTTATCTTATGCAGATATGCATCTCTAAAAATATCTAATTCTCTAGAGTGTTATATTTTAGGGTCAAAATATTAAAAGGAGCAACATATGTTAAAAGTGCTGGCCTTATTTGCACACTTTTCATATTACCAAACTTATTAAATTTTGGATGATGTCTTAAGGGTGACAACTGGCTTCAAAGAAAAATGCTTTAAAGAATCTTCTAAGATTAACTGATAATGTTGTTGTAGGATTTGTTCGTATTTCAGTTTGTCCAGCAAAATGAAATATGAGCTTTTTATAATAGGACTTGCAATCAAATTTTAGTTGGTTAGTTTTCAAACTTGATCTTTGATAAAAACATGGAAATGATGGCAGAGAAAAGCATTATTCAAGTTAAAGTAGTTTGGCAAAATAATGTGGTCCCAGAAAGTATCATAGAAGGATCTAACATAAGGTTCCGTATAGACCTAAATTTTGAGTGTAACTCTTTCTACTGTTTGATTGATTTCTTATGGGCTTTGAGTTCCACCTTGTTTGGATAATTGCAAGTGTCTTTACTTGCCATTCTAGATTGATGTAGGAAGAGAGCAGTATAATATTTTTTTTAGGAACATATAAAAGAGAGGAATAACTGATAGTAACTAAAAGATAATAAGAAAATAAATGGATAACTATCAAAATCGCTTTGACTCAAGGAGAACACTCCTAGGATGAAAGTCTCACACCTTCTCCCATCAGTGATGGAATCTAGTCATCGGAAAACAAATGTGGCTTTGCACTACTCACACTCAAGGTGGAAAAAGAACTCATTTATTGATCAATCTCTGATTTATTTTCATTACAATGTTCTTACACTCTTTTTAGGCTAAGTACAAGAAAAGAAAAGGAAAAATATAAAAGTAGAGAATTTACAATTGAATCAAATCAAATATATAATTTGATTTTCCCATCAAAGAAGATAATCTTATTGATTGACATGATTACATACTCGTAGAAATCAATCTTCATAATATATTTCATCAGGATTTCAAATTTTTAATCACAATCATAATCTTTAAAAAAAATTCTCACATTTTCTTCTTGAGTAAACTAGGAAACTAGATCAGAATTATTTAGTATGTTGCTATGTGGCAGCTGGTGATATGAAAAATAACCTCCAAGTTAATCAAATTTATTTGAATAAGAGATAGATAAGATTGGTTCTACATCATAGAGCCCTTGCATTTGTTATATATGAATTTTGTGTTGTGTTGTTCAATGTTAGTGCACCTATAATAAAAAGAATCTGTTATCTGAAGTCATTTTTTCACTGATTATTTGAGTGGGTCAGGATAAATGAATGGTTATTGTATCTCTAGTTTCAGACTATGTTTAGTCCTCTAAAAGTAATGGTTTATACACTCATTTTACTACATTTTTCTTGGAAAACCTGATGCTTCAACAAATGAATTAAAAACACCCCACTAAATGAGCACTGAATAAACCATATTATCGTCGGGGCAATCATTCTGCCATTCCCACACTTCTGATATACTTCTCTTTACACTCACTATCATCTGTCTCGTTAGCTGATACAAACTATTTGAGACAGTTTAACCCATCTTGATGTCCAAAGAATTGCCTGTAGGACATGCCATGACCTGTCTTGTGATGAGAATGTTTAGCAAACAGTTACTAGGAGGCCATGGCCTGGCTTGCTGCATTATTAAGTAAACAACCATTTCTCTGGCAATTGGTAATTTGAATTGTGTGTGATTTGATCCATCTAGATGGTGTATCCTTTAATAGTGTACAACTATGGTATTCTGGTTGTTGGAGGTACACGGCTGTTCTAATTCCTATATTATTATGTGATTTTAGATAGCAATGAAAGAACTTCGCGAGCGCAAGATACCATTTACCATCCGGCGATATTTACCAGATGGAAGGTGCTATCTTTAGTTCTTTTGTTATGTATATCAACTTTGAATGATGGTTGAATTTGGCATTACTAATACTGATTTTGATTGCATTGACACATTGCAACAGTTACGAAGACTGGGGAGTCGACGAACTAATAGTGGAGGATTCCTGGAAGAGGCAAGTTGGCGGGGACTAAGCTGATGACCATCAAACCCCTTCTTGTTTCCATGCTTGCTACATTTGCTGTGTACCTATCACACTAGATTGAATTAGATGGATGGAAGTTGATTGGAGAAGGATCATCTGAATAGCATGCTGTCATAAAACGTTTAATCACGCATGCCAACGAAGGCTGTCCTCTTTGGTCAATTTCACCTATTTGTGACCGTTGTTTGTAGACTATGCTTGGCAAATGTGGTGGTTTAACTACGACACTCTATATGACATGCTTTGCGTGTGCCGTCTTACTCTTATCCAACGTCACTAATCCTTGACCGATGTTCGTAGACTTTGGCCACACACGACCGTCAATATCTCCTAATTGGGGTTTTAATTATACCTTCTTTTGGCATCGTAACTGATACGAGCATCGAAAAGGTATTCTCTACCCATGTGCATCTCTCCTGCGTTGCTTAGGCACGAAACGCACTTAGAAGGGCGCGAAGTAAGCGTTGTGATTTTTGCTGACTCACCACGCGGGTATGCGAGTGAGTCACAGTCGAGCGGATCACGTTTCGCATCTCTCAAAGAAGATTTACGATTTGATCTCTTCAGCGTGTTTTCATGCCCGTGTTCGTCTATTGCGATGGTAGATCATGTCATATTGATATTATTACTGAATCTCTATCTAACTATTTAAGTTTCTTAGATTAACGTAGGAAATAACCTATCTTTGATACCATCGTAAAAAATCTAGGGGTGATATCATATACGTATTCATCATCGTAAAAAATCTAGCGAAAGAACAGAAAACAAAAATTCTAGATTTTCAAAAAAGTATTCATCGTCGTATAAAGATTGATACGTAAAAATTTATAAAACTGAAAACTATGTGTATGATATTTGTGTTATTTAAAGAGATCGTATATCCATGAATTCTTACAGATATGTGGGAGAGGATGAAGGAGGTCAACTGTCCTATCTCTAGTAGTGATCTACACAGTAAGGGCTGCAAAGACGCTCCTCGAATCGCTGCCCAAATCTCCACATGCCTCTACTGGCTAAGGAGGAGAAGGGAAGAGGAGAATAGGATCGCCGTATTGGATATTAAATCTTCGTCCAACTATCCAAACATCTTAGATTAGGAGATTTCTATCCAATAATATCTCATTAATTCTTATTGGATCTCATTCATAGGATCCAATAATTTAGGAGCTTATTAGATATCCAATAAGATTTTGGCTCCAACGGATATCTTATATCCGAACGTCTACTCATCGCAACACCTACCATATATGTGGACTCTCTAAGTCCAATATCAAGCTGGTCATGAGTCATATATATTAGAACTCTTTCTAGTTTAGTGAATCTCTATCCAATAATCTCTTAGATTAGTATATCTCTACCCAAGCCTATTAGATTAGTGAATCTCTACCCAATAATATCTCATTAACTTTTATTGGATCTCATCGATATGATCCATTAATTTAGGGGCTTATTGGATATCCAATAAGATATGAACTCCAATAAGATATGATCCATTAATTTAGGGACTTATTGGATGATTTGTGTTATTGGAACTACTTGTAGATACGGTGGTGATATCATGAATGAGTATGAATTTAGTAGTTAAATTGAGCTTTGGGACAAATGAAGTCTGAGACCTGACTAGCAATTAAGAGTAGTCATTTTTAATCGAGGGGCGTCAGAAGACAGGGTTTTTGCAATATAAGATTTATCTGTTGGATATATTGTTCACCTGAATGATTATTTTGTGCAGGAGAAAGAAACATATTTTAATATTTTTAAGCTTCCAAACCCAGTTGTCTACATTGGTGGAACGTTGTTTTAGCTGATGGGTAGGGTCCAGAAGCAAGCAGTGAGTGGTTTGTATTACATTTGGCTAGTGTGTCTCGTTGTTCTCCATTTTCGTGTGTGCATGTTCATGTATCCAAAGAAATCACAGACCACTCATCATAAGAAATGTTGCTTTGAAAGGTGCTATCCGATGCCTTCGAGATGAAGTAATTGAACTGAGTTGGGAATGCTCAATATCATCTCCAAATTCCAAATTAAATGCTTTTGCATAGACTTCGGTATACAATTTTTTTGTGGGGATTATGATGCCCTTTACTGAATTGTTTTCCGACGTTCGTGTTTGCATATGACGTGTGTGCCACCTGCAAGTGATGAGAAGCCCACATTCTCCTGTCTTGGTACTGAAGTACTTATCAGAGTCCAAGGGCCTGTGGGAACTCTACAAGCTAATCTTGTACAGATGTCTCCCTGCCATTCTTTTGGAGCCAGTGATGCCATTACTGAGCATGCTGCTGAGGCCAGTGCGATCTTCCTTTAGTGATGACGAAGGTCATGAGGACGAATAATTTCATGAATGATACATAGATAGCCCACTCTTGCTTTTCTCGTTCTGCGATACATGCGGATGAAGGATGAATCATTCTGTCATCTGGATGTTCATATTCCTCTTACTGAACATTGAAGGTTTCTTACCTTGTGATAGAACCGCTGGAGGTAGCTACTTAATGCAAATAGTAGATGTCTCCTTTACAAGGCCTTCTAATCCGAGTGATTGGTTTCTCTATAAAGGAATACTTTTATGAATGATGAAGATCCCTTTTATGAATTTTGACATGTCAATCAAGAACTCATGATGTTAGTATAAGTCATCACATTCGACGATTCAACATATATCTCCACGTTCAAATAATGATGATTGATTTCATGTAATTAGCTCACATATTAACACTTCAATTTATTTCAATACTTCCTTGAATCTTGCAACTCTACTAATTTAAGTATTAGAGAAATATTTATTTGGTACATCTTGGATGTCAAGATCGCCTATCACAAGCTTGTAATAAATTTGACACAAAACCCAACATATCGAACAATTAAAATTAAAAAAAACCTTAAGATTCACGTACATACAACTATAAAATATGGCAAGAACTTCTAATTTCTCCCAGGAAGGTCATGCACAGGCAATACCTATGTGAGTGATGGTTTAATCCTTAATGAGTTATTTGATCTTGTAGGAAGAAAACTATAGTATGTCAATCTTTATTTCCCGAAAACTATAGTATGTCAATCTTCGTCCTCTTTCGACCCCCTGTTCTTGTGCTACAGAAGGCAAAGGATAAAAGCTGGCTTTGGTACTCTACTCTGCCGGCGGGCCCCCTCCCGTCGCTCACAGCCTTCCCTTTTCCTCGGGCGTTGCTTCGTCCCTAAAGCACCAGAAAGAGGTGGAAAGACGCATACCAACGGCTTCTCCCGGCGTACGTGAAAGCTCTCCTCCTTGTAGCTAAAGCAAAGCGAGAGTCTCCCCGTCAACACAGTACCTCCACCTCTTCTTCTGCTCTCTTTGAAGCCAAGTCTTCTCACTCACAGCTCACCAAGTCTCCACTTCACGCTATGCTCTCTTTGAACCGGGAATGTGGTGGTGTGAGCTTTGGACCGTGGATCCGGTCCGATCGAACCGGATCTGGAACCGGAACGGGATAGGGCGGGTTGTCCCGTTTTCCGCGGTGGGTCCTTTAGGAAAGCTGCGAACGCAAGCTCTGCTCACGTGCAGGCAGCTCGTCTTTGCATGCAAATGTTGTTGCTTGCCGACATTGAATGACCTTCGCCTATTGTGTAGCCGCGTGGAGTGCTGTTGATGACTTCCCAAATGCACATCAGTTCCTTCCTCTGTTCAAGTTGATATACTTTTGTCCTAATTGCCATATAGTTCCTACGAAGAAAAGGCAAGAGCAACCTCTTCGGTTTCCCCATCGAGGACACACTAAAAGACATGTATATGAGCTACCACTGCAAGCCACCTTGACCTAGTTCGAAAAAGAGAGTCGTTTCCAAGCTATAAATTCTGCACAGGAGGAAGCTCAGAAACTGACATGGATAAACATGAAAGAAGAAAAAGATAAAAAAGTAGCTCAGAGTGGGTGTCCTCCTGCACCGAGTGGCTATTGCTCTTGAAATTTTGAAACGCTGGGAGAAGAGGAAGCTGAACAGTCTACTGAGGTGAGTCTGAGACGTGTCTGTGTTGGCAGCTACTGCACTTGGGAACGATTTCTTCTTCAAATTTTGAAATGCTTGGAACAATCTCTGGCAGCTACCGACTTTGATTGGTTTTTCTAGTAGCGTTATAGTTAGTGTCCCTTTAAAGAGAGATTACAGCAGTGCAAAGTATATCTTCTGTCCAAACCCACCATTAAGGAGAATTAATGCAGTGACCTTTTAGTACCTGTTCTTGATTTGGTTGGTCGGACATTGTTATCACCAAACGAACCCCTTCTGATCTGAGAATGATTCTTCAGACTGCGAAAGCTATCTGCATCTTCCTCGCATTTTATTATTTTATGGCCCTCCACTCTCTCCAGCTTCCGTCTCTCATCATGGCCACCCTCCCCCTTTGCCTCATGAAAACGATTCCCACCTCTTCTTCTTCTTCTTCTCCTTGTCGTTGAAGTTTCGTCTTTACTGCTTTCTCTTTAACATTCGTCTCCTTACCATAGCCGTTTCAGATCACAGACGCTGCCTGCGATCCATGGCCGAAGAACCTGAGCCTATCTCGGATGTCAATTCCGCCAGCCACCTGTTGTCTCAAGCAAGGCAGCTCGTCCCTACCGCCCTCGACAAGGCCCGGGCTGCCGCAGGCTTCCCGGCAAGATGGAAATACATAATCTCCAAACTAGAGCGCGTCTCGCCGTGCCTCTCCGACTTCTCAAGCCACCCCTGCTTCGCCAAGAACGCACTCTGTAAAGAACTGCTGCTGTCGGTGACGAACACCCTCGTGGAAGCCATCGAGCTCGCCGGCCGCTGCTGCCCCGCGGAGCCGCTTTGCTTGGGCAAGCTCCAGATGCAGAGCGACCTCGACGCCTTGTCGGGTGAGCTCGACCTCGTTCTGAATGACTGTGCGTTGCTGGTGAAGACCGGGGTCCTCGGCGATGCCGCCATGTCCCCGATTCTCGCCGACTCGCAGAACGCGACGCCGATGCACGACAGCGTACACGAATTACTAGCCCGCTTGCAGATTGGTCATGCCGAGGCCAAGCACCGGGCTGTGGACAGACTTCTTGAGGTGATGATGGAGGGCGAGAAGGGTGTGCTTGCTGCCTTCGGCCGGAGCAGTATCGGCGCTCTGATACGATTGCTCAGTGCAACCTCCTCGAAGACCAGAGAGAAGACAGCTACAATGATTTGCTTGCTCACGGAGTCAGGGAGCTGCGAGAAGCTATTGGTTTCGGAAGGAGTGCTCCCACCTCTAATCAGGCTGGCAGAGTCCGGAAGCCTGTTTTGTAGAGAGAAGTCAGTCGTATCGCTCCAGAGACTATCCATGGCCGCCGACACCGCCCGCTCAATAGTCGGCCACGGAGGTGTACCGGTGCTGATCGAGATATGCCAAACAGGAGACTCGATTTGCCAATCAGCGGCTGCAGGGACGCTGAAGAATCTTTCTGCAGTGCCCGAAGTCAGGCAAACACTGGTGGAGGAGGGCCTTATTCGAGTCATGATCGATCTCCTCGATTCTGGAATCGTTCTCGGCTCCAAAGAGCATGCCGCAGAGTGCTTGCAGCATGTCACCGCCAGCAACGACAGCCTGCGGACGTCAGTAGTCTCCGAGGGGGGAGTGCGCAGCCTCCTGTCTTACCTTGATGGGCCATTCCCGCAGGAATCAGCGGTTGGCGCGTTGAGGAACCTGATGGGGTCGGTGGCGGCCGACAGCCTCGTTTCGCTGGGCGTCCTCCCTCGCTTGGTCCATGTACTCAAGGACGGATCGCTCGGCGCGCAGCAGGCAGCAGCATCCATCATCTGCAGGCTATCAAACTCATCCGAGATGAAGAAGGTAATCGGCGAGTTCGGTTGTGTGGCCTTGCTCGCGAGGATGCTTGACGCCAAGACGAACAAGGCCAGAGAGGCCGCTGCGCAGGCCATTGCGGGCTTAATGAGCTGTCCTCAGAACAGCAGGGAGCTTAAGAAGGACGAGAAGAGCGTGGCCGATCTGGTTCGCCTGCTCGATTCGAATCCTCACAACACAGCCAAGAAGTATGCAGTGTCCTGCCTGCTGTCGCTGTCGTCGAGCAAGAGGTGCAAGAAGCTGATGAACTCCTGCGGCGCCGTTGGGTGCCTCAAGAAGCTTGCCGACATGGATGTGACTGGTGCCAAGAAGCTGCTTGAAAGATTAGAGAAGGGGAAATTGAAGAACTTGTTCATCAGAAGATAGACATGTTTGCTGATCTTGTATAGGATGCTGCTGTTTCACCGGCTCCCGGAATCAGAGAGAGCTGAGGCTATCAAGTAAACGTAGCGCTTGTTTATCTCCTAAGCTGTATGTACTAGTGGTGTGTTTGTTCTGGTTCTGATAGTTTAATCCATACTGAGTCGTTTCAGTCTAAATGAATTATCTTGATGAACTTCCACTGTAAATTTCATTGCTATTCTGACCAGCTTTCCTCTCTTTACTGCGCCAGAGTTGCAGTGATATATGATGCTTGTTTCCTCTAGTTTTCCTCCGTTCAAGAAGATGATGCTTTAACCTGATCAAGGAAGCTGATTGCTAGCGGATGGAAGTTTCCATTGTCTCGATCAATTGAAGCCGCAAAGGATGCTTCCTCGTGCTTCAATCATTCAACAGGCTCTATCCGAGGGAAGACAGCTTTCCTCAGTTTCCTTGCGTTGGAGACGAGGTGGATATAGCTCGATTCACTTTGTGTCGGTAGCTTGTTGATTTGCTCATGGATCCGTGACAGCTTGGCTCCGGTGCTTGACTAGCTTTGTTTTGTGGGAGTGTCGCTTGTATTGGTCGTGAAGCTGTTTTGTTGGTGCGTCTCCTTCAACTCGCGTCGGTGGTGAAATCCAAATAATCCATTAGTTACACGACAAGCAATCTTTGGTCTGAAACAACGAAGATTTAATTCATGCAAGTAAACAACACTATATCTTTAAGCAGTCAATCCGGCACGTCTCTGAGCTGAGATACTTGGCATGCGGGCCTCACCCGAGTTGACATTGCTCATGCCGACACAGTCCAAGTCGACATCCAATAGCTTATACTGACCTGGTATTAGTTTTGTGGTTGGGTCTCCGACTTATAATAACACAAATAACATCAAAAAATGGTAACCATATGGAGGATTCGGAGGATCTTCTCTAAAATCATGCTATTATCCTTCTGAATTATAAAAGTTGTCACCTTGTATGGTGAAAAAGTGGGAGAATGAAGACAAGTTCTTGGAACACTACCAAAGGCTAATAGCCCATATTCAGTCCATGTGGGCTACGGCAGCCCACAGCCCATACCCCCTCTTAACCTAACCCTAATTAAGATTAGGGGGTATGGTGGCTGCGTTTTAGAAGCAAAAAAAGGCTATAAAAAGGTAGCAACGAGGCAAATCTTGTGAGCCACGGAATTCCAAAGAGAAGAAGGAGAACAAGACAGAAAAGGAAGAGAAAGAAAGGGAAGAAGACAAGGACAACGCAGAGAAACTGTTCTCAATCATCTAGCAGTGTTCTCATCTCAAGTTAGATCAAATCTACAGTAGACTCTTGCTGTGATTACTTGGGGAGGTTTTAGATATTGTGGGCAGTGACGTGATCCTTGTATCCCAGTTATTCTCTTGTGGTTGTTGCTAGGGTTTAAGGCAAGAGATTGAGATTTGTATATTCATTATTCTCATAGTGGATTATCTCTAGTTTGCCCCGTGGTTTTTACCCTTCACATTGAAGGGGTTTTCCACATATATCTTGGTGTTCTATTTGATTGTGCTTCTATTTAATTCCGCTGCATATTATGGTTTTCTAGTATTTGTTCATATACAAAGGTTATTCCTCTTTATATCCCTATCATCTCCAACTTATAAGGCTCTTACTCTCTCGTAGAACATCGTCTAATTTAAGCGTCGAGGGAGAAATCGTAAAAAACCTCCTTATATAAGCCCTTTGTTTTGCAGATTCTCCTAATGTCAAGCGACGAACGTACTATCCATGTTGGCGAGCAACCGTGCAAGCTCCCCTGAACCAACTTGATCGGTAGAGTTCTTTGGGACTGATACTAGAGATAAGATACATCAACTCTATTCTCTTGCCACTGGACAAACGATCAAAATTTGATCGATCACTTTAGATTTTTTTTCTTTAGTTTTAGACTTATATGATTATCGAATTGGGTTAGGACAAACATATCATACAAGTAATATTACAGGCCCAGTGATCATCTGTTAGAACCCTTGAAGATTCTAAACTTGGGGTTGATCTCTTTAGGGGATCGGCCTCCTTGGAACTCTATAGGGGTTCCTCCCTCCAAGTTGCTGTTCAAAGGCTGCAGAAAAGATTCATCTATTGCTTGTCAAAAGAGAAGGAATACATAGCTATTTATAGGGCTTCTAAACCCTAACTCATAATATGACTCCTACTCAAGACTCCTATTCCCTTACAACTCCTAATTCTTCTCTAAGAAAAAACCTCCTACATGAATGCCCCTCTCAATTAGGACTCTCCTAGCTAGAGTCCTAACAGAATGTCCCTCTCAATTAGGGCTCTCCTAGCAGAATGTCCTTCTCAATTAGGACTCTCCTAGCTAGAGTCCTAACAGACCCGCCCTCTTCAAATCAGCCTTGTCCTCAAGGCTGAGATTCCATGAACTCAGGGAACCGGGTCTTCAGCTCCTCATATGGTTCCCATGTGACATCTTCAAGTGGTAGATTATTCCAATGCACTAGTACTTTGGTAGAGGGATGTCGGCGACGCATCATGATCCTGCGATCGAGGATGGCTTGTGGTTGGGCTTGAATAACTCCATCCTCAGTTGTGTTGGGCAGTTGGATCTGGAGTGACTCGTGTTCTCCCAACTTGGGCTTTAGGCATGATACGTGGAAGACAAGGTGAATTTTGGCATCCTCAGGTAATTTAAGTCTGTACGCCACGGCTCCAATACGCTCTATGATCTGATAGGGCCCATAAAAACGTGGGGATAGCTTCATGGAGGCTCGAGTGTTGATAGAGAGTTGCTTGTATGATTGTAGGCGAAGATAAACCCAATCTCCCACTGAAAATTCTCTTTCACTTCGTCGTGTGTCGGCTTACTGCTTCATTCTGGCTTGAGCGGTAGAGAGATTATCTTTTAACAATTGTAAGAGTTTGTCTCTATCAATCAATTCTTGGTCAACCTGATCTACCTTGGCCGAGCCAATTACATACTTTGGAATCACAGGGGCTGGTCGACCATACAATGCTTCATAAGGGGCACATTTTGTAGATGAATGATATGTAGTATTATACCACCATTCGGCCCAGGGGAGCCATTTCGCCCACTCTTTTGGTCGGTCGCTAGCGAAACACCAGAGGTACGTCTCTAAGCACCTATTTACCACCTATGTTTGGCCGTTAGTTTGTGGATGATACGCTGTGCTCATCTTGAGTTTGGTGCCTTGTAACTGAAATAACTCGGTCCAAAATTTACTAGTGAAGATCCTGTCACGATCACTTACGATGGACCTTGACATCCCATAAGTTTAACAATATTTTCTATGAAAATCTGGGCAATACTAGCAGTAGTGTAGGGATTTCTCACAGCACAAAAATGAGCATATTTCGTAAGTCGATCAACCACCACGAGAATTATGCTTTTACCTTTGGAAGATGGCAGCCCTTCAATGAAGTCCATGGAGATGTCAGTCCACACTGAGTCTGGTATGGGTAGTGGTTGTAGCTTCCCTGGATTTGCCACAGTTTCACCCTTGTGCTGTTGACATACATCACATTGTGCCACATATTCAGCAATAATTTTTTTCATCCCTCTCCAATAAAAAATTGCTTCACTCTTTTGTAGGTTCTTAGGAATCTAGAGTGCCCTGCTGAAGGTATAGAGTGCATTTCATGCAAGATGATTGCGATGCAAGGGGAGTCAAGTATAAGCACAATGCGACCTTTGTAGCGTAGATCCCTCGAATCCCAAGTGTAGTGGGCTATTGCACTTGGATCCTCCAATTCTTTTATGATGTTGCTGATCTCTGGATCCTTCTTCCATTCTTCCCTAATGTCCTTGAGGAGACCGATGGTAGGAAGGGAGATGGCTGAAACCTTAGCTTGTTCAGGTAGCCATGAGAGTGCATCTG